GGCAACACGCACCGAAACCTCATATGATTTACAGCTAATACCATCCTATGAGCTCGAGTCTTTCGTCTCCGCGAGCAGTAGAGTCCCTCTAATCAGAGTCTAGTTCGCTATTTCTTGGCAAAAGCAAGAGAAACAGAAAGAGAAAGGGATATAAGAAACAGAAAGCAAAAGCGATATGAATGTATATCGCTTTCTCTTTCTCTCTTATATCCTCGCCTCTCTCGCAGAATTTTGCCAGAACTGCAAGTTGGCCAGACTCTAATTAGAGGGACTATCTAGATGCTAGAATGGATACCTATAGAATACCGAGTGGAGTAAGGATGACAGTAAGCAAAATCGGCCAAAAAGTGCAAACAGGCCGCAAGCCTTTATTTGAACGGAATTTATTTAGTATTTTTGAAATATCAAACATTCAAATATTACAAACAAATATTGCAAAGAATTTTACAAAGAAAAAATAATATTCTATACTCTTTATATGCTTGGAAATATTCTTATGGATTTAGTATGTTACTACCAGAGATGTGCAAAATAAGTGTCCAAACCCATTTGAAGTAGAAAATGCAAAATAGTTAAATAAAACCTTTCTATTTAAAAATGCAAAATACAAAATGCTTTTTAAACAACCATTTAAAATAGGAAATGGAAAACAGGCATTTTTAAAATAGTTTTAAAAAATAAATATAATTTTTTAAAATATTTATATTTATATATTTATTTATATTTAAATTTTTATTTTTTTATTATTTATCCAGTCCGGATCGTAAATGGCATTTGTCTCTTTAATTTTAATTGTATATCGACGGTCCTGTTTCACTTATTATTATTATTTATTATTTATATTTTTTTTACTATTATTTCTTACTTAAATTCTTATTTCTTTTAATATAAACTTAAATTACAAAAATTGAATTATAAACATTTACATATTCAAAAAATGTTTGCCTACATTTTGTTTACAGACATTTAATTATTCTTTTGATATTATATTTTGATTGCAATGCTGTTTAGAAGTGAATGGTTTCAGAAGAACAAGTTGCGTCTTACATAGCCATTAAGTATCTGAAATATTTTTTAATTATGTTATTCAAACTTAACTTAATTCTTGTTCTTGTGCACTTTTTTTGTTAAACAGTGTTACTGATGTCGCGATTTTTAATTTGGAAGAAAAATGCATATGAAATAAAAAATGGGCAATGAAAACCATTTAAATGGAAATTTAAAATAGTTTTTGAAAAAATGTATCTTAAATGCAAAATACAAAATCAGCATTTTATTTCGTATTTTTATTTCAAATCTATTTCAAATAATGCACATCTTTGGTTACTACGCAATATCATAATGATACTTATGTTATATAATATCTATTACGATCGCGAGATCAAAGAGATCAAGTAAAATCATTATGTGCTGTAGTTTCTTTATTCTTCTTTGTATATAAATCTCCAACGTGCTTTGCATATACATAATTTACATATTAATATAGATCGAGATGTGATTGCGTTTCAAGAATAAATTACTTGTGGTTTTTTGTTTGTATCGTGAATAATAAAGACCTGGGAAATATGAGTAATAATTATATGATTTGAAGAAACTTACTTGGAATTGGTATCAGCTGGATCGCACGTAGATATGTTGTATAGATGCTGCAGAGTTTCTACATATCTCTTAAAAGCCAAACAGGTCGAACTACTTCGTTTTGTGCACAAGAGTACCTGTTAAGGGAACAAAAAAACCCTCAATAAATAATATTTTTACTTCTTGCAACAAATTTTCTTTATGCTGAGATTACGATTACATCGAAATATGAAAAAATTAAGAATCTAGATTACTATACAATAACTCAATTATTTATAGTTATTTTAACAAATGTATATATTGTATATATTGTAAATATTGTATATATTGTATTGTATATTGTATTGTATTGTATATATTGTATATTGTATATATTGTATTGTATATTGTATTGTATTGTATATATTGTAAAATATATAAAATTTTAATACCTTTAGTATTGTCTCCACTGCAAATACTATTATAAGTCCTACTGTGCTTGCCGCTACTATTGACAGCGAGTTCCGCTTATAATAATTTTGAGCTCTAAAATTAAATGTTATATTTTAAAATATTATAAATATCAAATACGCAATGCTTATTTTAAAAAGATTATTGTGAACCGTTTTTGGGCAACTGCAAAAAATATTTAAATTCTTCTTTTTACTCCCCTTACATGTCTGGAAAGTTTTATTAAAATCAAAATTTTCGAGTTTGCGAGGTTTCCTTGAGTCCGGCATACGGCTTCTCATGCTCTCATTTGCTCAGACGTTTTAGTTAATAACGCAATAACTATATTGCAATTTTTGCAAAATGGTACGTAACTTTTCTTTTCAATTTAAGCCAATCTATCTTTATACTTCAACATTGTCAAAAATTACCGGACATTCTGTATGTATGTATATATATACAATATATATATACTAGCTGGTTATCCGGGCTTCGCCCCGGAGGACATATGTAATAAGACACGCAAATAGTCGAGAGATACATATATGTATATATACACATATTCCTGTGTGTGTGTGTGTGTGTGTGTGTGTGTGTGTTGTGTGCCTGGAGGCAGTTTCTGGACTTTTCTGTTAGTATGTATGTATGTATGTATGTATGTATGTATTTATGTATGTATATACATACATAAGCGTTAACTTGCATGCACATTATATTTAATATACACATTATTTGATACACCAGAACATCCTAAAATTTTCTCAAGTTTTAAATCATTAATGTTTATACACAAAACATAGCACTAATTATCCAAGAATATAAATATTTTGAACGTAGCCCTAATTGTAAGATTGAAAATGTTCAATAGCTCTATAATCATATTTTTGTAAATATATTATTCATCTTTTCCATGTTTGGTGTTTTTTCTTTATATTTAATAAAAAAAAAACAATTTTCTTGCTTACTTCATGAATCATTGCAATAAATATTATTACCGATATGTTGAAATTTTAACATCTTAAATCAACGTATAGATACTTACCCTTTATATATATTTTTGTTGTACCAGGCAGGGAGATCATTAGATGTTACATCGCGCAGATTTGGATCAATCACGCTGTTATCCTCTAGGATAAGTTTAAAATGTTCCTCTACCGTCTGGGTTTGAACTGCAATGCGTTAACATATTTATACACGGAATAATGAAAATTATCAAATAATTTGAAAAATCATATAATTTGCAATTCTATCTTTTTACATGGATGCATCAATAATTTTGTAAAAAATTTTGACATTTTAGAAATCAGTTTGAACGTTTTACATAATTATTTTGATGGTGCAACAAAATATAATCAAATTATTTTCAGATCTGTATCTAGCTAAATTTTTAGAATCTTCAGCAAAACCGTTCTTTCGGCGTTCTTGCAATGCGAGGATAATGAGTTACGGTAACGATAAGTTACTTTTTTAAATGAGTAACGAATAACGGTAACGAGTTACGCTAACGATGAGTTACTTCTTTCAATGAGTAACGAGTAACGGTAACGAGTTACTTCTTTTAAGAATAACGAGTTATATATGGTAACGATAAGTTACTTTTTCAATGAGTAACGAAATACGGTAACAAGTTACTTTTCAAACGTAACTTTCCCTGATATTATATTATTAATTAATATACTTTGATATTATATTATTAAATAATTATTTATTTATTTGAAATATATTATTATAAAATATTCTTAAAATATGTATTTTGACAACTTTGCCGAGTATAAGAGCTTCCGCACAAGACTCTCATATAGTAATGTAGCGTAACGTAACGTAGGTCAACGCACAAAAAAAATGTATAACGTCGTAACCGATACGTTTCTCGTGCGCTGACTTACGTTACGTTACGCTGCATTCACTTTTCGATGACATTATCTTGATACTTTTATACGTAAATAATGAAAGAAATCGATTGTTGTAAAAATAGAACAAAAAATAATTTTAAAAAATTTGATTATATTTTGTAAACGCATTCAATTTTGCAAAATTGCAAATGTAAAAATTAATTTTATTATTATATACGCTTTCTTTCATTATTTTATATACAAAAGTGTCAAGGTAAAGTAGTCGAAAGACTACTTTAGAGTACTGAATACTTTAGAGACTAACGATGTATTTCATATTTCATATTATAAAAATATTATAAAAGAATTTAAAATATCTCAAGAAATCTTTAACGAAAGAGAGATTTATTAGTGTTTCGAAAACGTCTCGACGAGATCTACAACTTTTCTCTCAAGGGCAAAATCGAGTTATTTAACAAATTAGTCGCCTTTAAAATTTCTTAAAAACAACATCTACGACATAACTCACATAAGAATCATGTGTCCTCTTTTCAAACCAAACAACTTTTGTCTAATGCAATTTTTTTCTACAATCAAAAATGAAAAAGTTTTGGATGTAATTTGAACAGTCAAATATCGATATCTCATGTAGTTTTAGGAAAAAACGTTTTAGACGAAAGTTGTATGACTTGGAGGACAAATAATAGTAAAATCATATTTTTTAAAATTAATTTTTTTAGGTCACAAAATCATCGTCATATAAAATTCTATTTTTTTAAATAGAATTGTATGATTTTTTTTACACTATAATAAAGTTCTCTTTTGTTAAAAATTTTTTGATATTTCAAATTATATCATGATATTTTTAATATAAAATATGAAATATCTCGTGAAGTATTCACTTTTCGATGACTTTACCTTCATATTTTTATACACAGAATGGTGAAAGAAATCGAATAATAATATTAATTTTTATATTTGCAATTTGCAAATTAAATGCGTCTACAAAATGCAATCAAAGTTTTTAAAATAATTTTTTCTTTATACCTCGGTCGAAAGTACGTACTTTCGTCCCTAATAGCAGGGACGAAAGTTTAACATTTACTCCCTGTGAGAAGTATACGCGCGCTCTCTATACGGCGGTAACACGAACCGGATAGGAACTTCG